CTAGGTACAGTCAGTCCAATACAGAATGGAGAGCAGAGAGTAACAGTGAGTCAATTATTGAAGTACAATTTGCTATTGGGATATCTCATTGTTATACAGTTCCTGTGGGTTCCTGCCAACTCTAGTACCCTTGTAAATTTTCAGTAATCCCTCCAAGGGATCCTTTTCATTTCTTGTGTCCTAATAAGTTCCTAAAATTCAACACTTTGGACAGGACTCAACACGTGGCAGCAACAAGCAGCAGGTTAGTGTTAGTGTTGGAAGGAATTTTCACTCCAGCAGGCCCCTTGCTGGAAAAATTGTCATTTTCCTCCAGTGGTTTTTGGAGGCAGGGTGATCTCATTCAACTGTGATCATCCTGGGGGAAGTTAAGGAGTTCGAGAAAGAAGAGAAAAGTAGAGCAAACGGGGAGAAATTCTGGTGCAAACCATAGCTATTCAGAGTCAGAAACCACTGGGGCTTCTTGCCAGGGAGGAGGTGGTAGGGGGGCAGGAAGATATGAAAGGGCAAAGCTGTCTGTGCTCTGCAACCTGTGCTACGTGGGCCTCCAGCTCTCAGAGGAAGAGAGTGTGCGTGCATGGAAGAGAGTGAGCAGTGTCCTATCAGCAAGGTTGAAAGCAGATTCCCCTGCCAATCCAAGTGCCTTCTGCATATGAAGTGGGAGGGGGCTCTTATCCATTCCCTCAGGCGGCAAGTGTCTGGACCAGCCCTCTCTCTGCCTAGTCTCCCACTTTTAGCTGGTGCGTGCCTGGAGAAGCATATCCTGCCAGCCAGCCCCTCCCCCCTTTGCTGCCAAGAGCTGCCTGTCACCGCATCAATGCTGCTACACCCCTTTTGCACCACAGACGCTACGGAGAAGATCCTATGAAGAGCATATCTGTAGCTCAGGGCTGAAACGTGGAGTCCCTGTGCTCTCTGGGCTTAGTGGTTTGCTTGCAGATGTTTCATGACCCAGTTAGGTGCTAATGATGTTACCTAGTTGGGTAATGAAAATTCCACAGGCGAACAACCAAGCTCAGAGCACAAAGGACTCCCGTGGGAGTTCCTATGCCCAGACGGAACATGCTGTGCCAGAACTTCCACAAGGTTCCACCAAACAGTCTGGAGAAGCCATGGAATTAGCAGCCCTTGGATGTGTGGCAATGGCCACCCATTTGGACCCTGTCTGAAGTACATGAGTCCAATTTGTAGCAAAGGGGGACATCAGTAGCTACAGGTTTTGATGGTCCTCATCTACCTCCAAAAATCCAGGCAATAAGTATCTTTGAAAGATCGACTGCTGGGCAGTCAGGGAAAGAAGGCAATCGCCTTCTTGTCTAAATTTGGAGGCAACCTACAAAAAAGCACTTGGCAACCTTGAGGCACAGCAATCATGCTGGATCGGAGGGGCTCTGGCCTGATCCCGCCTTGGGCTTTCCCGCTCTCTCCTAAAAAGCCAGCAGATGCCCCTCCCCAGCCATTTCTCTGCCTTTCTAGATCTGAAGCTGCCCATCTGGGCCTTCCCGGCTTTTCAGAAAGGAGGCAGTTTCCCCCGCCGGTAATCCCCTGGCCAGGCTGGACCTCGCTCGTGCAGCCTC